CAGGCTGCCGTGGAAAGAACAAACCTTCTCTCAAACTTCTTGTGAAAGTGTTTGTTATTTTTGTGGGGGGAAATGGCCTTTGATTCTGGGTGTGTTAACATCTCCGGACAATTGTGACAGGTTTGTTACCACGAAGAAGCTTTGTGATCTTGGTGGCACCGGTTCCAGAAAAAGACACGTCAGGCCAATTCAGAGGAAGCGCATCTAAGCAAAAAGGTTGCTATGATTGCACTGGGTGCCAGAATGGGCAATCATGCGGAGTCCAAGATCTACTCATGAACCCTCACACATTGACATGGAATGACATGGAAAAGGAAAAGACAGTTGTATTTTTTTAATGTTAGTAAGGGAATTGGGCATTCAAACCAGATCCGTTTGCTTGGTCGGTCCTATGTCAGGTCGAGCTTCCTTCGACTTTGGCCCGTGCGCGGCGGAAGATCTCTCGGCGGGTGTTCCATAACTTTTGTTTGAAGACATAATACTATGTATATAGGATTCTTCAGGCTTCCTTGCACCATTCCCGCCAGATGTTTGCCTCGAAACCTCGATCAACTGTCAACATCAACTTCCACCTTTTCCTTTGGGAAGAAGGGCAACACACCGTTGTGCTTTCTTTTCATTTGCTTGGCGTGCGGCAACAACCTGCAAACTTTCGGAGCTGCCCCAAATTGACCTGAACGGAATTGCTCAGTGAGCTGAGGACTTGGCGGGACAACCAATGAGAATAAACCATCCTACCCTATAATTAGGTCTGTTTGACCTCATTTTACTGGAGATGATCATGCAAAAACACTACTGAGTAAGATCAATCATCAGGTTTTACTGGGTCAGACTGGACGAACGTAGGGCTCGGACAGTGGGACGTCTGACGCGTTTGACCAGTCGCTCGGTGTGAGTGCTTCAATTGAGAGAACTGCACACAGATTCGCCTCGCTCAAGGAAAGGTCACTTTGATCATCCAAGAGAGGTAGGTGAAGTGACCGCACTACTAGGACCCTGGAAGAGTCGAAGGGCGTACCATGGCCCTGGAAGAGTCGAAGGGTGTCGGATTCTGAGCCACATCTGTTGGATGAGATCTGGTTTGCAGAGGAATGGGGTTGCTCAAAGATTGCGAGCCAGGTACTGGAAGTATAAGCCGCCATCCAGAAAGGGGAGCAAGACCAGCTTCAATGCAGCTTTCCGGCAGTGAGTGCTTGGTTTCCGAAGGCGTCCCAAAGAAGTAGGGGACGCTCAACTGTCATCACAACTAGCAGATAGACTGCAGAAAAGTGAAGAAGGAGTCAAGAGTCAACAGGAAGAATGAGATTGTTCAAATTTCCTTCACTTGAAGGATCTTACATTCGGATGTGCGTGGCAGTCCTTCTTTCGCTACCTTCCACCAAAGGCCTACATCCTACTGGTAGCCTTCAAAGACCATGAAGAGAATGGTTGACCTGGTGTTGTAGTCAAAAAACATTCTAAAACCCTTGGTAAAACGATGGTTCTTTGTTTGTCAAAATTGTCAAAGCCCTTGAAGACAATGGTGCGCCAGGAGTCATTCTTTCGCCCTAGTAGGGCGTCTCAGCTTTGTCTTGGGCCGTGTTGCCACGTCTGGCGGCACGCACCCCCGGGCGCCCACCGTCGGGCCCAGACACGTCGTCCGCGACCGTCTGGCCGGGCGACTGGTGCGAGGGTTTTGGGGTGGAATCGATGCGAAGTATAGACTGGCAGAATTATAATTGTGACACTGATATGAAATGCATGCCAACGCAGGAATAATGAACGACCAACACGCGTTATCTATTTTTTGTAAAACAATGGTAGTGTAATGTCGTATATATCTTATCAACATGTATTTTATTATGTAGGTTGTACATGTTGCGTGTGCGCCTCCCAAGCAAGTGGCTTCTCTAAAGCCAAGCATTTTGCCCGGATTCCTTTCCATTGAGCGCGTTTGTTCTTTCGGAACTATTTGTACTGATGACATCCGCGGGTCAAGGAAAAGCGCCTCAAGCCATGGTTAACATTCCCGAAGAACTTCTATATGCTTCATTTTGCGACATTCATTCGGGGTAGTAGGTGCTGCAGGTGTGGTTGGGCCACATATTTACATGAAGAGGTCAGCCTACCCCTCAATCCAACCAGACTAACCAGACCGCTTTTGATCCTGTTTGAATATCCGTGACTCTGTCGCTACATCGCAAGCTCATGCGAGTTTGGTCATCTCATCAGAACTTCCAATCACTTCCCCACAAATAAAGGCTTCCTTTCAAAAACCTGGCGAGTCGCAGAATTGGTTGAAGGGACAGTCTGCAGGAAATCCATCTTTTGGGAGTGAAATAAACATGACAAAAAGCTTGGGTTTCCTTATCCCTATGGATCCACGTACCTTCTCGACCCTCCAAGCCTACATAAATAATCTCCAATCACCTCCTCAGGTTCGGTATGTGGATCCATAGGGTGTATGTAGATGCACCATTTCCTTCAATTCAACATTCTGAGAAGTGAGATGTGTGAAGAAGTCGAGTCCAACGCCGCAACGAGCGGACGTGGCTTGGGCCCGACCTGGGCGCTCCACCACCGCTCTCCGGACCTTCGCGTCCGGCACGAACGAGGCGTGGACGTGCCACAGATCGGGAACTCGGAGATGCTTGGGAAACCTAGCGCAGCAGCTGATGGGATGAGGGTGTGGCTGAGGGTGTGCCTAGCCGCACATCCACGGTGGGAGGATTCCAGGTGGGTGGGGGGATCTGAGTTAAAGAAACAGTCCCAGACACGACACATGGGACTGCCATAGGACTACCGAGAAACGGCCAGGGGTGGTGGTTTTGCAGGGTCTGTCTGGGGCTACAATCATGATTACATGGATCCTGGGATTGATGTGCCACTGAACAGCTGAGCTGATTTACTAAAGAGTTTGGATGACAACACCAGGTCGGTCGTTCTTTTGTCCTGTTTTGTCTTGGAAGGCTAGGGGACATGTAGCCCCATAATGCCCCATATATATGACCCATCCTATAGCAAACACACACACACACATATATATATATATACATACAGTGGTTTCAGAGTAGATGGCACAGACCTCAAGATGTCCTGAAAACATGGGGGTTCATATAAACCACCTCTTGGGGTCTGTGCCATCTACTCTCAATCCACTAAAACTCTTCCATACTATTCCAGTCTCATGAGATGGTCTGGGGAGGTTAGCAGAGCTCCGAAGGAGCAGAGTTCCGCCTGACAGCCGACAGCGATGGTCGTGGCAGCTGCGTGACCCAACTTGTTTGGGACTCGTTCGTGGCATGAGTGGCAATGGTGTCAAAGCATTGCCAAGTCGTAGCATTCTTTTCGCGCACCGCAAACGGCTAGAATTTGGACGGAACGGTCATTGGTTCATTTTCTGAGCTCTGAAGTCGGTACCGGAGAGCTAGAATCAGAGTTAGGACCTGCCAGGACGATTGATGTTGGACCCGGAATCACCAGGGGGATAGCCTGATGGATCTCCATGGAGCAAATTGTTTTGCCCTGGATCCAGGTATCCAGGAGCATTGCAAAATTGGCATACAACCTATGATGACATGCAACATCTGGGCATGACAATCCAACAGTGGGTCAGAACCCTAGATCGACTGTCCCGTAGGTACCCCAGGTGTTCCGGGTCCTATTTATGGTCACTGGCTACCACTCTTGGATGATTCTCATGCGGGGCCAATTTCGGCAGACTTTGGCCCCCGAACCTTGCTCCGAGTCTTGATCCACACCGGTACAACCAAGGCTCAGCATCTACAAAGAGGTTCAACTTCATGGAGAACTCAGCCGGGGGCCAAACGAAGTGGAGGCAGATTTTGACGGCCAAACGGACGACAATATATTTGTTCATATGTTTTTCCGGTGTTGTAGTTTTTTTTTTTTAATCAGGCGCCAGTACATTGATCAGTGGTTTCAGAGTAGATGGCATTGGGCACCCAAAGACGTCCGTAAGAAACCACCTTCATTTTTCTTGGACCTGGATGCACCAAGTAGACTCATGGATATGATTAACCAACCCATTTTCTCACCAGCCCACCTCTGGGTTCCAGCAGCCCATGTATAGCTCAATTACTCGTCCTCCCCTCCTGCGCCGCCTCTCACTTCGCCTCGGGCCCCACTCGTCTTCCCCCGCGTGCGGCGCGTGGCAACGGGCACGCTCGGTCGGGCGCCCACCTCCGCGCTGTGGCAGCACAGCGGCGCTTTCACTGGGAGCGGCGGCGGTGCTCGCGCGCGCGGGCCGCGCACGGGGCTGGAAACAGAGGATGGCCAGTGCAGGAGCTGAAGACGCGGAAGATGCGATGCGGTGGGGGGCTTGGGAGGCTTGGACGTTTGGCGGCCCACGAATTCGCCATTTTTGGAGTGAACATCTCGTGCCCTCAAAGACACCCACAGTCGTAGAGGGGGAAGATGCAGGAAGAAAAATCATTCTTGAATGAAATCGATTGGTCCATGAGCCTGATCGATCGATTCTTTTGTGCGACTCTTGTGGCAGAGACACAACAGATTCTCGCACGCGCACGTCTGGTGCGCAGGAGCATCAACGATTGGCGCGCATCAGCTGAATTTCTGCAAGTCTGCCTGGCTGAGCGATCGATCAGTTTTTTTTGGGGGTCAAACCCTGGAGCGAGCAGCCTACCATGTACTTGGACCAAGACCATGTAGGGAACAACCATGAAACTGATATTATTTGATATTGTTGGTTCCATAAGAATTGCTGGAGTACATCAGTTACATCAGGGTAGACTCTCATACGTATGCTCATTTGATCTCCTTCGGGTTGGTTCAATTCGTTTGTTAAAAAAGCGTTCCCTTTGTTGACGGGCCAACATCAGGGCAAAAGGCAAAGCTGAGCGCAGCTGGTCGACGCAGATTGATGACCATAAGAAGCATGGTCAAGAGGAAGCTTCAATAATGTATATCACTATACCCTAGCCTTCCAAGACCATTAAAAGAACGGTTGAGCTGGTGGTGTAGTGCAAATTTTTTTAGTAAAACAATGGTTCTTTGGTAAAGACCATTAAAACAATGCTTCTTTGAATCCTAGGATATAAAAAGACCGGTTATTACGCAGGTCCATGCAGGTCAGATTGGTTTTGAACGAGGCCATGGTCACCATGGTCCAGGGACACCTTTCCAGCCTTGGATCGGCAAGTCGATGCCGAAGCCGCTCGCTCGCCTCGCGCGGCTCCACCGCCCGACGTCGAGGTCGGCTGAAGAGATCCGCAGCAGCTTGCGGAGCTTGATCAGCCGCTACGAGGCGGAGGTGCAGGCCATCGTGGACGCCGATGACCGGAGACTGGGGCCTGTCCAGGGAAGGGGGTTCCAGGCGTTCCGGGGGGTTCGGGCACCCGATGCGACAAGCGATTTGGAGTGGGGACACTCCTGGTTAGTTGATGCAACTTTGCCACCAATGTACCTGTTCAAGGGGCAGGTCTGTCTAGGCACGGGTCTTTTCGGGTCTTTTCCGAGAGGGCAGGAAAGGGGTTGCGCACAACATGTTTGTTGGCAGAGTCATGGTCTATACAACAATGTATGGATGCCAAAAGTCGGTTTTAAGGAGTCTATATAAAAAATGGCAGCAAATCACGAAGTTGTTGTCATATACCAACTGGATAGGCCGTTAAGGGGCATCGATTCACCTCATTCCGAAGGGCAACCATCCACTACTCAGGGGTTCTAAACACAACTGAGCTGTGGCTAAAAGCGCCCCCGAGTCACGGTATTGTAGCTCACCTCCCAAGTCTTTCTCCAGACGTTCTACCAGTTGTTGGTGGAGAAAACATCAGCAACTTCGGCCACTTTTCAGCTTGAATCTCCCTGTCACCCCCTCCCACATTCCCAAAAAACGTCCTCCTTTTCGGCACCTTTTCCGCGCGACACCGCGTGCGCCAAGGAGCTTTGCGGCCACCTTCGGTCGCCTGGCGGACGCCGACGGCCTCGCCGCGCTTTTTAGCGCCGAGCTGACGCTGCCGGCGCAGGTGAGCGGCGAGCCACCCGGAGGGCAGAGGGGGGTGGGGAGGCTGGGCTATGATTGTTTCAATATTAAAGCTGTCGCCTGGCATGGAGGGGAATATTTGGTGTATTTTGGTTTGGACAACCCGTCACGCAAGCCTGCCATGATATGGCTAAGTTCTTTTCAGTGACAAGCCTCAGATGCACATCAATTTTTGAAAGATTCATTGATACCGTATCGGTACCTAAGGAAAGCCGTTCGGGACGCATCAGCAGATGCAAAAGCGCAGCTGCAGCAGATGTGGAGCAAGAGCTATGCGCGAGCAGAGCCTTGACGACGATTCAGCATCAATCCAGCTGTCCAATGGCCACCCCCTCTCCTTGGTGCTCGGGCTCCTAATTCATGACGAGTATCCGAAATAGAAGTCCATTGGTGCACAATGCATTCACAATGCAAGAAAAGAGCTCATTGTTATGCTTGTAGTGCCCAGTGGATGCCAGTTGCCACTATATAAGGAACCAGGAATTCGTTCGGTCTGTGGTTTTAGTCTTTGGAACCACTGGTTACCAGCGACATCGTGGTTTGCCTGGTGGATGCCCTGGGGTACACTCCAAGCACTGATCGGCAAAAGATCATGGGGATGGAGCGTCGCCAAAGAACATGTCGGAACACCTCTTTCACCGCTCTCGCTGTGGCCTCTCAGGGGAGCCGTCGTCAAATGGTTTAGCACACGGCACTGCATTGTCATCATGCCGTCCTCAGTCTCCTGGAGAAGATGCCCCTAGGTATCCGCTGGTGGGGTTTTCTCATTGGCCCATAGCCATGACAGTCATTGGCACAAGGCAATGCACAATTGTTTTTTTGGCAAATTAAGGTGACTAAGAATATATGTCATACATGCAATGTAATGCATCCATCCCTTGGTCCAACCCGCATTCGTCCACGCCGTGCACACAGGATCTCTACCATGCCCTGGAGGCCGCCGCCGGTCTCGCGGCGGGATCGGAGGAGCAGCGGCTGGTAGAGGTGGTCCTGGCGAAGCTTCGGCACGTCGGCGCGCATCTGCCTGAAGCGCAGCGCAAGGAGTTAGAGGAGCCTGGGAAATTGGAGGTGGAAGTTTGGAGGCGAAGAAGACTCGGTTCGGTTGTGAAGCACCGTTTTTAGTCTATAGAAGGGGTATAGATAGAATTGGTGTTCTGTTCCTTGGTTGATGCTGCTGAAGAGTTGTGGAGGTTGAAATCCAAAACTTGCTCACACCAATTTCTTGACATTGAAAACCTTTATTTAGTAGTAGGTCCAGCAGTCACAGTTGCTTTTTGACAGTTGGGCCAGTTGCAGAAATGTCCAGAGATGATTCGAGGGGCTAAGCCGGACTAAGTTGGTGAGAGGTGACAGTGCCCAAGTCCCAACAGAGGTGGGTCAGAACCCGACTGTTCGACTATATCCCAGTTGGGTACTTCCGGGTCCTAATTATGGCCACTTAACCTTTGTTGGTCCTCCTCTTCTCCTTTCCGTCCTCCTTAGGAGTTGGACCAGCAGTGCGGCAAGCTGTGCCTCCAGGCCGAGCAGAACATCAACGAGGTGCCCCCGCACAAGGTTCTGAGGAGCTGGGGAGAGGAGAGGACGCGAGGAGGAAGGGCGGTGGCTTGGGAGCTTAAAGACCTTGAGAATCTCTTAGGAGATGGGAAGCATGAACCATTTTCTTGGGTTTTAGGGTGTTGCTGTACTGATAGGTGTTTCATCGAGAGTTCTCCTACCAGGCTCTTTTAAAGTGAAAGCTCTTTAAGTTCCAAGCTGACTTTGAGGTCGCAGTCTACCGTATTTGAGCTCCAAGCGTTGATCCTTAGCGAACAACCTGTCCAGCCCCAGTCAAGTCCCACTGCCTCTCGGGGCACTCCTTGCCCGGGCATTTCCCAGCTCCGGTCCCTTGTTTGCCGTCCTCAACACCCACCAACAGAGGTTGAAGAGTTCTATAGCTCCGCCTCATGTCAGACGCACCACAGCATGCCGCTGTGATCCTGCCTCGGTAGGGTCCTGTATAAGGTCATGACTTAGCCTCTCTTGGACACCTAGGACTGCAGCTCGGTAGACCTCACGCCTGCGGATTTGGAGGGCTGTGCCGAGAGCTTCGTGGAGAGCTTGCCGAGCACCGAGGTCGAGAGCGGATCGCGTCACTTCCTCGATTGCTGAGGAAGAGATCCGACCGATGAGTGGAACCTCCGACCGATGAGTGGAACCTCCGACCGATGAGTGGAACCCCAAAAGTCTCATTCTTGTGAGACCGGCATCCGACTGAACGTCTCGAGCAAGACAGACTGACGACGTGCGCGCCGCGGAGCGCTGTCCGGGCAGGCTGGCTTGAAGCGCTGCGCCCTGAAGGCACCCACCTTGGTGCCCATCTTGCAGCGCTGCAAGAGCAGCGCGACGCGCCGGCGGATGATGGAGGCGAGCCAGCGGAAGTGCATCGAGGCCGGTTGGGCGGTGGGGTTGGGGGGGGTGGCAGACTTTCCGGATGTGGATAGATGTGGAGGAGGGGTGGAGTGCTGGCTGAGGGGAGCAAGTGTGGGAATTGGGCCCATTGGGGGGGCGGAATTGAGTAAGTACTCCGGTGTTTTTTGCGAACATATATGTCCTAATGTTTTGCTGTCTAAAGTTGGCGCTGAAAAACAGGGAAAAAGATAATCCTGCGCTACTCATACCAGCACTTTCGAGTGGTCAACCTTCCCCGCCAGGTCAACACCCCCGTTTTGGAGGAGCTCATCGCTGCGCGCCACACGGCCGCGGTGAAGCTGGGTTTCTCCTGCCATGCGGAGCGCATGCTGGCGAGCAAGATGGCAGGGAACCTGAAGACAGCCAAAGGATTCTTGGATTGAACCCCCCCGTCCCACGCAGAATGGGACTGGCAGTGGGACTGGGTAGTCCCACTCATGGAAGATGGCCTTTAAGAAGACGATTGACCTCCACACAGGGTTGTGTCCACTTCCATGTGGTGTGCTCGTCGGAGTGTAACATATTCCCAGACACTCCATGGGACTGCCATATATACCGATCAGGCCAGGGGTGGTTGACTGGGGGTCAATGGGGCGGCATATATGGCAGCCCCATTAGTCGTGTCTGGGATTTATTTAACACTTGGACTCGCGTTCCATGGAGGTAGACCCTGCGTGGTAGAGGAAAGCAGTCTGGAAGAGAGGCCCATATTCCGCTTCCGCTTCCATGTGGAACAGTCAAGAGTGTACATAGACCCCTGAAGCGTTCGGTGGCGAAGGATTTTGTAGCTTAAGATCCTTAGTCAACAAATGTCAAAAACAGGTTGTTGGATTGTTCACCAATAATAAACATTATACAAATCAATTGCGGGCCAGGAAGCCTATAGCCTCTAGCCTTAGGAGCCTTACAACCCCGGTTTTTGCGTTCTTCACTCTTCCGCTGAGCGGTCGATCATCCAAACTGCCTGGCTTTTGCTTCACTCAGAGCTTCATTGTCCCGGAAAGTGGCCAATCCTGTGAAAGTGGGGTCCTATCCTCTGACACCTGGGTCCAATAGTGTGACACCCCAAGTGTCCGGATGTGCTTGCTGCATCTTGCTGGATTTTCTCCCGGTTCCTGGACAACATCCAGCAACATTCCTCAGCAACCCCCCCTTACTCGCAGTCACGATCCCATGGGAACCCGAGAATTGACCGGTGGGTTTTCCCACCGTTCTCATCCGTTTTGCCTCTACAACCCAGTGGTTCTTGGATGTGTGTTGGGGTAAGCTACACCTTAGAAGTCAAAGACAATTTTAAAAATTGTTTTTTTTTTACATGGTTGACCTGGTTAAAGCCCTTAGTGAAACAATGGTGGTGGTTCGACTTCTAGGGTATATATCATAAGTGACTTCCTGGCTGCCCCGTCAGACCCTCGGGCCGCTTCCGCGTGGAACGCATATATATATATATATGCGATGGAACGATATGGAACGCATATGCGGCGATGTGATGAGGCTTTGTGGAAGAGATGCTGCAGAGGTTGAGGCCTTTGAGGGACCGAGATTTGAGCCTTGTGAATCGGACGTGGTTTTCGGACCGTGGTTTTCTTTCGTTCTTTTTGTCCTGGGTTCCTGGTTGAATCCCCTGAAGCTGGGGACGATTTTTGTAAGACGTATTATAGTTTTAGTGTAGCTTTTAGTGGTTTTTTCGGTTCAGCAACATATATATATATACATCATGCTCTAAACTCTTGGTTTGCCAGTTGCTCGTTTGGTGCCATGAGTGGAATATAAAGGGCAAGATTTCGTTTTTGGTCTCGTTGTGGTCGGACCACTTCTATCCCAGGAAGCGCCTTGGCCAGCGGAAGCAAGCTGATGTGGCAGATGGGAACAGCAACGGTGATAGGAAGAGGAAGTCACAGGTCTTGGAGGAGCACCCTGTGGAGTCCTGGCAGTGGTGGTCGAAGTAGAGGTCTCTACTGCTGCAGTTGCAGGAGGTTGAAGAACCCTAGTTACTATCCTATAGGTACTGCTGTAGGTCCTATTTACGGTCACTTAAGCTTTGTAGGTAGGGGGGGTGAATTAGACTTCCTGGTTGGAAGATGGTTTGTGGCGGAAGAAGCCTAATAGGTCTCCAACAGGGGAGGCCGGGTTCCTGGGTCCTACAGTCCTACAGGAGGAAGAGAAACCTCCCAGCGATCCCGGGAGACCGGCGAAACCGCAGAGGTGGCTGTTGTTTCAAGGAATTCAAGGAAGGAAGGAACTGGTAGACATAGAGTAGCTGGAACTCTTAAAAATCCTAAGGTCCCAACCTTGTAATATAAATGATTCTGGTGGTTCCAAGGAGTGGCCAATTGACCGATCCTGAAGACAGCGGAGGTGACACGATGTGACCGTGACCGTGAACGTTCGGGGAACGTTCGATGCCGGTCATCGAGGATTTGTGGGACTTGTCCTACTATAGCGACTTGTTGAAACGGGAAGAGCTACTTCTAGATGATGAGAAGGTCAAGGACGTTCTTTTTTCTGCTGCGCGGGTGGTCTCTGAGTGAGTGTCGGAACATGGACGGACTTAAGGCATCTCCACTTCTAATTTTGGGGAGGGACCAATGTTGGCCATCCCTCACACTTGCATGTTTGTGCTTCCTTTGTTTTTGAGAATTTTGGGACTAATTAATTAGAGATGCTTGACATGAACAGCTCTGATGTTCTTTTTTGGCGGGAAATGTTTGACAATATTTATATAGGGGTTGGTTTACTAATCAAAGGTCAACAATACTCTTCACTTTTGCCATGTTATCCATGGCAACATCCCATCCCTTCCACTTTTCCACCACCATTTTGCCAATGATTTTTGGACAGGGGGTGGCACAAACGGCTTTGCTGGCACGGATCGAGGATGCTTAAGGTGAGGTTGATGTTTCCCCCTATTTCCTTTAGCAAACCCAGCACCACACATCACCCAAGCACAGCTTCTCATCTTCACCGTCCAGTAAACGCGACGCCGGCCCGGTCGACCAAAAAATCCGGCGTCGTCGGAGGTCGTTGGTTGCCTTGTTTGGGGTGGTTTCCGGGTGGCGTTCCCGAACTGGATGAAGCCCCTGAAACTGGGTGAAGCCCCTGAAACTGGGTGAAGCCCCTGAAACTGGGTGAAGCCCCTGAAACTGGGTGAAGCCCCTGAAACTTTTAGATGGTTTAAATCCAAGCTTCATTTCTCCTGTCAACTCTTTCTTTGCCCTGTCAACTCGCTTGCAGGGTGCCTCCCTTCTCCATTCTCCCATACTCTCCCCTTCTCCCACCATTCACCCCATAGAAATCCCAAAAAGAAACCTACTTTGACTATCCCAGTTGGGTACCCCAGGTGGACCGGCTCCTGGTTCAGGTCACTTATATATAACCTCTCTACTTCATATACCGCGAGCGAAGAAAAGCCACGAGGAGTTCTTCCCCTTGGAGGGCACGATCCAACGGATCTTGGACGTTTACACCGAGCTCCTGGGGCTCAGTTTCCACCGCAACGATCAGCTGCCGGCCGCCTGTTTGTTGGGCTGTTGGGGGGTTGGGCCGAGAAGAAGGAGGGGTAGGGAGGAACGGGCGGCTCGATAGATGTGATGTGATGTGATGTGATGTGATATGATATGATAAGATAAGATAGAAAGATAGATAGATAGGAAAGAAAGATAGACAGATAGCCAGCTAGCTAGATAGATATATAATATATAGATAGATAAATAGATAGATAGTAGATAGATAAATAGATAGATAGATAGACTCGACCAGATAAATGTGTTCGTACATAGTAAACATTCCACTATTTTTTCCAACTATGCGTTAAGTTATGTGTTTAAACGATTTTGTGGCCTTCTTTCTAAGTAGATTTCTTGCTGAGAGTTCTACCTTTGTTCCTATCCGAAAAAGCTGTCATCAGATTTAGAACATGTCAGATTCATTGGACGTCCCACCATGACCACTGTGTAGTGCACTGTATGAGTAAACACTTTATTGATTCATGGTCTCTCAGGTTTGGCACAAGGAAGTCATGGCCTTCGAAGTGAAAGAGCAGGGTGAGGCCGGGTGCGGCGTGGTTGCAGCCGTCCTGATGTCCTGAAAGCATCGGAAAGCATCCAGCAGAGGTGGGTCAGAACCCTAGTTCGACCATCCTTTAGGTACCCCAGGTGACGGGTCCTAGTTCAGGTCTCTTAACCTCTCTTGCATCGCAGCTGCCAGGTGGTGGGGCATCTCTTCTTGGATCAGTTCCCTCGGGATGGGAAGTTCTCCCACCAGATGCTGCTTGGCCAAAAAAACAGCGAGGGAAGACAGGCCCAAACGATCAGTAGGGACGTGTGTTGGTCCGTCAGCAGAGAGGATGCGGGTGCAGAGGATGCCAATGCCGAAGAGGCACAGCATTCAGCCACCAGATTCTATACCAGGTGCAATTGATTGCACTGAAAAGTTGAAACCTCCCTTCAATCACACATCGTTTAAGAGCCAAGTTGAGAGGGATTGGAAGAAGAGGATGGCAGGCTGAGTTCCTGGAGGAAAGAACATGAAAGACGGCGAAGACAAGAAGCTTTCAGACTTGTCCTTCTACTGCCAATAGGGGGGACTGGACCGATTTGCTTGGGCTGGTTCATCACTTCCGGATCACCAATAGACTATACCCAGTACTCTAACCCAGCCCACTCAATGGAGCCTCAGACACCAGGACACCCAAACGGGACACCTCCTGAAGACCTCAGGAGGTTCAATCCTTCGGTTTTTGACGGCGTTTGGAGGCCCCAACCCACCGGCCCAATGGATTGAATAGAGGTGGGTCCCATGGATCAAATCATGGGCCAGCGCGGATGGAATCCATGCCATGGCCCCTGGAAAGACCTGAAATCCTCCACACCCCAACGCACGGAGTCGGTCCTGCTTACAACATCTTACAACCACCCCGTGGCCAGAGCTTGACATGAAATTCGTGACGGTCATCATCAACCCAGAACAACCCAGAACAACCGCCGCTGGCCGCCTCGAGGATTTTTCCCTTAGCGCCCGCCTTCACCAGCTCATCCAATCAACGTTGTGTGCCCGCGTGCCTTGCCAGCGGCGGGGCTCCACGGTGGGTGGACTGGCACGGTGCCATGAGGGGACAGCGTTGGGCATAGCTGGCCGACCCCAAAAAGAGAAGTATCATGGCCCTCCCAATCGGCAGGGTGCCACATCCTCCAAGCAGAACCTATTATGAAGGAGCAAAATGACACAAAATAACTAACATCCAAACAACACCAAAAGGTCTCAAGCCCCGTTAGACAAGGTCAATAGTTCTTTCAAATGAGGTATTTGGGTGACACCTGACACGTCAGGGGCTCCACTACACTCCAAGAAGGAAACGACGTTTTCTTGGGGCTGCGTGCGGTCCTCTGGGCGATGCCGAAGTGGCGGAGTTCTGAGGTCTGCAAGGGCTTGCAACAGCTTCATTTTGGGCGTATGGAGGAAACCTTTGGATGGGAGAGACCAAGTGCTTGCTAGGTGTTTGCTACCAATGCTGTGGATGAACCTTGAAGAAGGCATATATATATATATATACACAAATTCAAAGAATCAGCAAGAGAGTGCCACGCGTCTTCCCCAGGTGCGTGAACATCTCCAATCTGCCACGGAGCGAGGGCTCAAGGCCTGCTTTATTGCGATTTTCGGAGATGAAGAGCCTCAGCAGAGAATGGAGAAGATGGTGCACAACTGGGTTGTTCCCCGCAGACTATCACGGCACTCGTAAAATGACTGATCACCAAGCTCAAATTGGTGCAGTGGGAAACGAGGAAGCTAGATAGAAAGTCGTATTCTGTTGCGTGAAGCCTGCACAGTCAGATCATCCTCTCGTGAAGCCTGCAAATCCGAGTCAGATAATCCTCTCTCAGCACCCTCCAACAGGTCGTTTGAGGGTCGTTTGAGGGTCGTTGGGCGCTAACAGCTCTCAATTGGTAACCTGTAGTAGGGTCCTGGTCTGTGGTCCATTCAGCTAGCCAGCAGCCAGTGCATGGTCCTCACCTGCCGTTCCCAAAAAAAGAGGAGAGTATCTATTTGGTCTCTTCCTCACCTGACCGATCCCTTGGATCTGACCGATCCCTTGGATCTGACCAATCCCTTGGATCTGCCCAATCCCTCTTAGACCTTGACCGATCCCAGCAGCCTCAGGACCTTGTTCCACGAGTTGGGACACGTGATGCACTGCCTTTGCACCTCGACGCGCTTCAGCATCTTGAGTTGGGCCTGGCCCATGGTGCCCTGGCCAGGTGGCGTGGAGCAAGACTTCCTCGAGGCAGGAGACAGAGAGTGGTTTTGGTGAAGGGTTGAGGGAGTGGGTCTCCAGGGTTTGGGGGTTTCTTGAGAATCCAGCAAGGCCAAGCAAGGTGAGCTTGGCTTGCAAGACACCATCCCACATCATCTGAAATCATCAGAAGGCTTTGAATCCATCACCTTTCCTGCCAACAGCTGCTTGGACTTAAGCATGTACCACTCGTTCTTCCAGGGCGCTGGCAACCCTTCACCCTTCACCGTTCTTTTCGAGGTGCCGTCGATGGCCCTGGAGAAGTTCACGTCCGACCAGCAGCTGCTGCAGAGGGTGGCGAAGCACTTTGAGACGGCCAAGGAGCTGGATGGAGCAAGCATCTCGAAGATTCAGGAGCAGAGGGGTCCCATAGACTCCATGGGACTGCCATAGGACTGCCCATCAGTTGCCTACTGCCATCAATACATGCAGTGTCGCATGAGATGCAGAGGGCCCAGAGGGTCGATTGCTTTTGGTTCCTTTTGGCTGATCGTGGTGTTCTGGGATCGGGGGCGCCAAAGCATGGTGACTCTCGAACAGTGCTATTGGGGCGAGTGGAAGTAGGAGCAGCAGCACTTGTATAGTGTGAAGTTGCAGTTGTAGCCGTGTGGCTGCTAAGTCTTTCAAGTCTGGCAGCAGCAAGAGTCACAGAGCACAGTGCCAGTGGCAGCATGTAAGTGTGGTAGGAATGAGGTGGTCGCATGAGTAATTTGACCTGTTCTGGCCGACCAGTTTGGACAAGGACAAGCCGGACAAGAAAATCACATTCCATGGTTCGTTTGGGGTTCTACAACAGCGACCAGTGGGGTTCTACACCACAATGGCTGGTGTTGACTGGGGGACCCGGACTCCCTTCATCCTCGGTCCTTTCCGTCCAGTCGACGGTAGGAGCTGGAGAGCTGGATGGCAGGAGAGTCCGTGGTTCACATGTGGGGAACGAGGCAATGCCTGGCTCAACGAGTCCTAGACCCCCCTAGACCCTTGTAAAGACCAAGAGAGGTGAAGTGACCTGAATGCCTGAACTAGCTGGAAAACCTGGGGTACCCGGTTACCCTGGCATAGTCGAAGGGCGTCGGGTTCTGAGCCACCGAACAGTTGGTAGCTTCGACGCCCCGACGAACACTTTAACATGGAAATGGAGGGAAAAACTGACTGGTGCTTAGTAGGGAATAAGGGAATGAGCCCTCAATAGAGATTCCATTGGATCCATTCCCTCATTCCTTACTAAGCACCAGTCAGAAAACCACCTGTTGGTAGAGGATTTCATGGTCTTCACCAGTGTTCACAGGGCCATTTGATCACTTCCATGTGATGTGTTCGTCAGAGTGTAATCTGGTCTACCATTGGGCACCATGGGAGTCCAGTCGACTTTTTTGAAACATGGCGGTCTGACTTAAGTGACTTGAAATTCGGTGCTTGTACTTCTATATGGGGGCAGCTTAAGTGCAACAGAGTGTGCAATCTGTGCAAACCCTGCAGGAATTCAAGAGTCTCGGATTTTTGGGGTATTCTTATTTGATTTGCTGTTGCACTCTCAAGCTCCACCGTATTCCTTCGACGGCCACGAGAAGCTCTCGATTCCTGAGCTCTATCGCCATGTGATGGAGAAGTGTACCACGCTCCCGCAGCTGCCCAACATCAACTTTTGTACCTCGTGGCCACTTGACCAAAAACCACGTGAATTATGAAGCACCCTCTTTGAGAGACATGGGCTAGAGTTTTTCTGACCCTGCCAAAGCTATGCTCCCAGTTTTTGTTGAAAGGTTTTGGAAGGCCAGGGTGGTTGTTGAGCCTTTGCATGATGGCCCAAAAAGGTCAAGAATGTGTCCACATTTGTTTCACCAGTTTTGTTCAGTGCGCATGCTCATCGCACATAAACCACGCACCGCCTTTAGCCTGCTTGGCTGGCACTTTCTTTCGGCTAGGTATCACATTTACGTCGGTTACGACGCCGGCTACTACGGCTATGGTTGGGCCGATGTTTATGCTGCGGACATCTTCGCGACGATGCAAAGTTCCAAGCTGGGTGCTTTGTCAGCTGAGACTGGAAGGCAGTTGAGATCTGAAATTCTGGGCCCCTGCGCCACGAAAAGCGGGGAGGAGATGGGGTTTGGGATGGTTTGGTTTAATGAGTGGGCCGCGCGTTCGCAGAGAAGGATTTGCAAGAAGAAACTTGTTCAAGCCGTCAGGTCAAGCTGTCAGAATCCGTGAATACCTCATCTGAATCACTTGTTTCAAAGTGGCATGGCTAGCTGGTGGGTTCAGGGTTAGCTGACTCCTCGGCGCTGCCCGCCGGAGTTGAGTTCCCTGGGGTTGGTCTTTGCTAAACAACGTTTTGAAGGCTAGTGTTTTCATTCCAGTCTCAATGGATTTGTTGATGGAAAAATCCAACACCCATGGGTGTTCACGGTGTTCACCTCTTTCCCGCACCGGTGGGAAGCCGGAGCTTGTTGCGTGCAGGAGATGCTGCAGAACTTCTTGAAGCGTGAGCCTTCGGTTGAGCCCTGGTGCCGATTGAAGGGCATATAATATAGACCAAAAGCATCCAAAAGCTGGGCTTGGCAGCGGCGCTGGCTCAGTTTGGGACGTTCGGAAGGGGTGCTGTTTCAGCAGAAGTCTTGGAATCCATTTGGAGACCTCAGCCAGGAAGATGTTATGTTCACTCACCTATAGTTATTTCACTCGGTCAGGCATCCTGAAAGAACCGCCTGACAGCCTAACAGGGCCTAACCGCCTGACAGAACCTGGCCACCTGTCACTGCCGGGTCTTCCACACGTCACTGCCGGACAGCCCGACCGGAGCTCTTCCGGTGCCGTAGTGCCGTGGCGGTGTTTTCTCCAAAGGCATCAGCCTCCTGGGTTCCTGGGGTCTGAAGCGGAATGTGCAACGCTTGGTGGCCGCGCGGAAGTGCGACCGCGGCAGGAAGAGAGGGAGGGGCAAGAGATATGGGTGATGAGGGCGAGATTTTTGGGAGAGGAACGAAGTGGTTCAGGGGAGTCTGGCTGCAAATTTTCTACCAGCACCCTCCAACAGGTCACTAACTGAAACCTGTTGGGGCCTAACAACCCTCCAAAGGAGACCTATAGGAGTTGGGCTGGTATTGGCCCGATAAGCTCTATAATCAGGCCCTTAGACCTCGTCTAGCAGAAGCACGTGCGACGTTCGGCGTGCGACGTTCGGTGTTTTCTTGAGGGTTAACTAACTAACTGTAACATGTACCAGGATCATCCAATAGACTACCCGACCCTACGTACATAGGTCTCCAGACAGGGCACCCAAACAGGAAGTGCTAGGTATGAGTATGAGCAGGGTCAGAGCGGTTTTCTTAGGCTAGTCAAGTGGGGCCAAGTATCAGCCCATCGCCCAGTCGGAGAGTGCCGCACGGCCGCGTGCACGCCTGACGGGGCTGACTTGATCAGAGCTTCTCTCTTCGCATCCGCGGGGTGGGTGGTGAGTGTTTGGATCTGTTTGTTCAGCATTCGTGCACACCAACCCTCTTTCTTTGCTCCAGGGTGGCCCTGAAGAGGGAATTTCATGGAATTTCCTGAAACTGTCCCATCTTGACGGGTGTGCATTGCAATAGGGAGACACCCTAACCCAATCGCCGATCGCTTTGATCTATTTTCATTCTTCCAGGGCACTGAACTGGAGTCGAACCGCACTTTTAGGGTTGACTCAGTTGACTCCAGGCTGGTCCAGTAGCACCAGGTACCGCGACATGAACAAGATGCAACGCTCCTTTGGGCCGGGCGCCCCCAAAAAGCGCTCCCAGCGGCGTCGCGCCTCGAAACGGTGTGCCCCCCACACTTCGTTTCAGAAGTATATGGGAGGGCGGCCGACCGATCGCGCTGGAGCCTGCAGAGGGGCAACAAATGAATCAAACTGTGCAAGATTGCGCGAGATTGATTGACACGTATTGGAGGAATGCACCATGATGCACCGATGGTTGTTTGTGACTCGTGCTAATTGAAAGAAGAAGAAGAAGAAGAGGAAGAGGAAGAGGAAGAAGAAGAAGAAGAGGAAGAGGAAGAGGAAGAAGAATAATAATGTCGTCTTTAGATGAGTGAGTGACTTTGGTTATCTTTGTTCTGCTCTTCACCTACCAATCTCAGTGGGATTTGTGCTAGTGTGTGATGTTTGTCGTGGCTTTTGAACGATCCTTCTGACGCGATCGTCGCCTGAAAGTGTGCAGCTTACGCTGCACGAATCCAACGTCTCACGTGGATGATGTGGATGGGTTATAGTTATAGGCCCCAAAACAATGAACCCTTTCCTGTACGAGTCCTTAAGCAGAGGGTGTGCTTTTTCATGATCATTCCAAGCGTGTAAGCGCCTCCACTCCTGGGTACAGGGTCAATCATGATTTCAGGGTCGCCCAACCAAGAGAGGTTAAGTGACCTTATAGGACCCGTCGCTTGGGGAACCTATGGGATAGTCTAGGGTTCTTCAACCTCTGTTGGAACTCCTGGATCCACTGCCTTCGCCACGTCCCGCGACCTGTTCAAGCCGCTCCTGCCCGAGGCTCCGGGTCAATAAGGCCGGAAACTGCTCTGGCACGGAGTCCCAGGGCTGGGTGGGTTGGGCGCCATGGCGTGATCTATATAGTATACGTCTTTGAAGAAGATCCTACATATAATTTATGCCATCAACTCGTAAAGTCGAAGGAGAGAAAGACCAATAGAAATGCAAAACCAAACCCTCTAATTCTTCGTGGCTTTGTTCGTAACACCATGCCAAGTGGCGCGGGCTCGAGGCAGCTACAAGCGCGTGGGAGCCCACTGCAACATGCAGGGCAGCCTGGTGCCGTGCAGTGTGGCAAACGGCCAACAACGCGCGCGGAGCAAAACGATCGAACCTGGAAACGCGGGAGGAAACCAATACATTTCGAAGTTAATTTGATGTGATTGTTTTAAAAGACAACTGCATTTTTGGATCCTGCCCGCGTGGAAAGACCCCCTGCGCTTATCCCTCCTTTGGCGCTACACCGGCTACACCTCTGTATTTGCAAGAGGTTGGCATGGCCTAGGCCCATGTACCGCAGCTCCAACGACAGCACCATTTACTACGACGCGGCCGGCAGTGAGTGGAGGCAGCGCCACGTCGCGCGGGTAGTGAAGTGCAGCTGCCTGAAATCTGTGCGAAGCTGCCGGAGAAAGGCACCTCTGTTGCGGCACGTTGGGTGATTTTCGGTCCAATGGGGTTGTCTCTACAACCACTCCATGTTAAGGGTTGTTTTCAGATGTTTTCGCACGCCATGAGCGACAGTGAGTCGCACCATATGTTCTACTTATGTGCGTGTGTGTTTCTGGGTGGCGAGCACTCGGAAGATGAGGCCTCTCCTGTATCAAAGCTGATGGATTCCACTTATGGATCCATCAGATTGATGTTAAGACTTGAAATGTGTCTATTTTGGGCAACCGTGCGCATTTGCTGTTGCTGCCAGGATGGCACTGAAGCCCGAAAGTGAGGAGGACTGGGATTGGAGTTCCGGGCTTTGGATGCCAACACCATTTCCTCATAGTCGGCTTACACCCTCCAGCTTGCTTGGATGCGAAATGTAGGAAGCAATGTGTTTTGAAGGACACCTTCAGGCTTATAGAAATCACCACGGTTGGACGCTACATCCAAACAATTTGCCATATGAGACTATACATGATAAACTTTTTTGAGTTGAGGCTAAGGCGGCTCCGATTGTTTCTTCCCTGTCTCGTGCTTTGAGGAGGAGTTCGGTGCCACCTACTGTGCAGCTTCAGCTTCCACAGAGGCTGGCAGAGATCAAATTCGTTGCATAGATCATGCGGGAACTGGTTCTTTTATACTCTTGTACATATAGGGGATTTATGGGATTTATATGGATTTATATATATATATATATATACGTCATGATCTCTAAATATTATATATATGTGAATAGAGTTGAGGTCTCAGTATAGCTTCTATATAGGTACTTGCCATAAACATTTGGCTCAAGTGCCCAACCAGGCGAAAAGGAGCTTTTGCGCGCGAGCTTCATGTTAAACTAAAGGCTAGAACGGGGCCCGGGGCACGCCTTCCATCCGTTCGCAGGTTATCAGCCGTATCCAGACTCCTTTGAGCTGGGTACGAGCTACGGCCTTACACAACACCATCTAAACGCACACGCATCGGATAGATCAGTTACCCTCAGTCACTGAAGATGGACCAATCCGATGCCAGCACTGCGTCCTTTGGAGCAGCCGCTGCGGCTGCAGATCGGGTGAGTACATCCCACAACTCTAGTCCAGGTACGATCGAAGCGGAGACTCTGACAGTGGTGAGAGAAGTTGCGACAGGTAGAGCACGAAGTCGTTCCCCGTCAGCGCACTCGACACCACCGGGGGGGACACCGAGATCGGGCCGTAGCCCTAGGGAGACAAGGAGGAGAACTGACACCGGAGCTGTGAGAGTGCTAGCATTGGAGGATGGGTCAACTGTACCTGTGCCATCGGACAGCGAAGCTGGAGATGGAGCAAGGGCAAGCACCGACAACCTACAACTAGCACGGGCCGATGGAGACCTCAATGCGAAGTGTGCACAACTACTTGCCGAAGTGCATATGTTGAACCACCAAAACGCATGGATGGTCGAATGTGAGCAGAGACAGAACCAGATTATACAACACGAGACCGAAGTCCACGAAGTAGTGATGACACACCTCGAAGAATGTTATGTCGAAGGATATGGAAATCAACGAAGAATCTCCCAACTTACAGAATCTAGAGACTGTTTGCTCTCAGCAGCACACGATTTGCAATACCAGATTGACACTGATCGTGTGGCAATGCGGGATCGTCTCACCCAGTTAGGGGAGTACGCTGATCGCAACAGCGCAGAGATGGTTAGTCAAGTTGTGAACATCGGCACGGAAGAGATCCAGGCTATATCGGCGGAAAGAGATCGAGCCGTAACCGAACTCATGACTGCAGTCGCAGATGCTGAGAACATCAGGGATCTATATAGGCAGGAGATAGTTGGACTACAAAGGCAGAGTGTCAGGAACAAACACGAATATGCCGAGGAAATGAAGATGAAGGAAGCAATGTATACAAGCAAGATCAAATGGTTATCAGAAGAGAATGAGGAGCTCAACAACCGATCCTATAACCAGGACAATTTCATCATGACCATCAGAGAGCAATTGAAGAGGGCGAATGAAGAGGTGGCACAGGCGAGGATTCAAGGATCCGGTCGACCGTCTCAAACATCCAACACCGAACTCAAGAAAGCCGAGGTCAAGATGAACATGTTGGAGGAGGACATTCTACGTAAAGAGAGGATGTTGAAACGTCTCCAGGAAGAATTGATCGAATCAAGTGCAAGTGAAGCACAACTGAAGGTCGCACTGGAGTTGAAACCACAAGACATGGGATCAGGATGCAATGTGGAGAACGAGATGATGACCAAGCTTAGAGCGGAACTTGGACGTACCGAAAAGTCATTAAGGTCCGAGGAGAAAGAGGCGATGGAATATTATGAAGGTATGATGCAGAACCAGCAGGACATGATGGAATTCGAAGCGCATGCAGCACGGCTCAGAGATGAGAGGAATAAGTACCGGAGGAGATACGAAGAGGAGCGCTCGAGCGCTGAGAATGCAGCCGCAACCGAGTATGGTGCCGCTTCATCCTCTAGCTCGGGTGGCTCCAAGATATCTCGGAAGGAACACGAGAAGATCAACATCCCTGCATGGCCCAAGATACACGACTTGGAGGTTTGGAAATCCCAAGTTGTAGCGGCAGTCGTGACCGCATCGGGCGACGAAAGACAAGAAGATTGGATCCAGTGGCTCTCGGATGCCTTCAAATCACCATATGACCCATTCCTGCTCGAGACATCGGGCGAAGCAAGATTCGCTAGCATAGATGCTAAGCTAGGCATCACCCTACACGCGATTATCCACGCAGCAGGTGAGAGATCTCATGACGTACAACTGAAGGTGAGGCAGATGATGCAGAGACGTGCGAGAGGCACAACCCCGGGAATGGTTAAGGGACGAGAAATGTTAGCGTTGATCGTCGATAGCTTCCGGAGTGCCGACAACGTCGATGTGATGTATGCATCTAAGCACTTATTCGATCTAAAGTTCCCTGGAGATAATCAACTATCCAGATTCCTTGGACAGTGGGATGAGATCATATCAGGTATGGATGCGGATGACATGCTTCCTGACAAAGCACTCCGCAACCTGCTTTGGGACAAGATTAAAGATTCCAAAGTTATGGCGTTAGACTTGTCCGTGTACGACAACATGTTGGATAAGGATCCGGATAAGACCTATCAGAAGTTGCGGGAGATTATGGCGAAGTGGATACGGAAATCAATCGAGACCACAAATAAGAAAGAAAGGGAAAAAGCTTTCGGGAACCTCATGAAGGCTACACCAGCGGAGAAGAAGGACCCTAAAGCGAAGCCCAAGAATACCAAGGCCGATCCACCAAAGGACGCCGCTCCAGTACTTCCTCAGAATAATCCGAAGGATCACCAAAAGAAGGACAAGAAGCAGGATCGTGGAAGGTCAACCACGAAGAGCCCGAAGGGGGACCGTGGCAGGTCAGCGACTCCGGCAGACACGTCCAAGATAGGATGCGCCTTCCACTTCTATGGGAAAAACGGATGCTCTAGAGGAGACAAATGCAAGTTTAGTCATCAAGAGAAGCACAAGAGTTCTGCTAAGAAACCAGAAAGCCTCAAGGGTGACAGATCAAAGAGTCCTGGTGGCAGGAGCACTAGCCCCAAGCCAATGAAGGATCAGGTCTGTTGGAATTGGCAGAAAGGATCGTGCAAGTTCGGGGACAAATGTCGTCGCCAGCATCACGCTGCTCCTGCTACTAAACAAGAGGCTAAAGGCAAAGCCAAGCCCAAACCGGCTGCGCCAGCTTTCATGCTTTGCGGAGACATCGAGAGTGATGGCGAGGACGCGCAACCCGCACTTCCCAATGTACAACAAGGTAAGCTGGAGCTTCGCTTTAAAGTCAGATTCGATGACCGGGCGGATGTGACCACGTTTACCTGCGATCCTGGTAACGAGCTAAATATCCGTCCCCTCAAGAAGAAGAAGGACGAGGTGCAGAAGGTGGATACCGAGATCATTTCGTCGTTGAGAACCCTCAGAGTGAACAGCATAGCTGCACGAGTAGCGCATGCCAAAGGCAAGATGATGGAGCTATACTCTGCTGAACACATTGCCAAGGCATGGATACAAATCACTCAAGATGAAGGAATCGAGGTGAACGTCGACCTGTCTGACTTCAACACCAGCGAGGTAGTAAGGAAAGATTCTGTCAACTACACGATACCGGGAGATACGATGTTCATGGCCGTGGAGAGGTATGATGGACCACCGATACGCTTCATCATGGACACGGGATGTGGGCACGACTTGATCTCAAGAGAGAAAGTCAACGCCATGGGCCTTACCACTAAGGAAGGACCCAAATCCGTGAGCTTCATGACAGCGAATGGAGTAACTAGTACATCGGAGATGGTGGACATCAATGTGGACGAACTACCCATGATGTCCGAGGCACACGTGTTGGAGAGCACACCATCAGTTTTCTCCATTGGGAAACGGTGCATGGAACAAGGGTATTCATTCATATGGCCTGCAAATCAGATGCCATACCTCATCGACCAGAACGCGAACAAGATCCCGCTATCGGTGCATGACAACATACCCTACATCAAGGTGAATGATGATGACGGGAGATGCTTACCAAGATCAGACGGTATGGCCACGATACTTCACCGCATATTGTCAGGTGTGGAGCATGAAGACGAGGCCACAGCAGGTCAGGAGACACAGAAAGAGGAACCTCCGTCTAAGAAACCTCGAAGACGGAGGGGAAAGAAGAGAGATAACCAGAAAGATCGGGGTGAGGAATCTGACATCAATCCAGCCGTTGTAGGCGACGAAGGAGAACCGGAGGGACACGGCGATGACGGATATTCTCCTGAAGAGGGACATGACGGGGAAGACCCGGGAATCAATAGTGACCTCGATGGCCAACCTGAAGAAGCCGAAGACGACGAACATGGAGGTGATGCGGATTCTGAACGAGAGGAGAGTGACATTGGTGAAGACGAAGAAGGACTATTGGAAGTCGATGTGGTTGACGGGGAAGCCAGAATGTCGAAACCAGGAGTGCTGAAGAATGAGGCGAGATCCATATTACACCTGATGACGCACCGATATAAGAACCCATACTGCAAGTCTTGCGTGAGGGCAAAGATGAAGCACTACAAGACTAGCAAGGGAGCTTTCAAACGGAAATTGAAGGCATTCGGTGACCTTATCACCTTTGACCTCATGAACACCCAGAAGATGGCGAGGGACGGGATCATGCCGGATAAGGATGTATTGGTGATCCGAGATCGGTTTACTGGTGTGATATGGGGCTACCCATTGAAAGCAAGCAATAGTGACGAAGTAGTGCAGGCGATGAAGCACTATATC